TGCGGCGTGGCCGGCGCTCGCGGCACGCTGCAAGGTGGCTCCCGCACCCCTCGCCTCGCACCGGAGGAAACGGAAATTCGGACAAGTCCAGTAACTTGGCCGGTGTCACGCAGAGCCGGGACCGACTCCAGGCATAAGACTGTCAGATTCCAGGGCTGCTTTTGCCATCGCGCCGCTACGGTCTTTGGTCTGGCAAGGCCCGGAATGGTTAAGCGCAAAAGTTGCGGGTGCCGCGGTGTTCGCCCAAGCCCCTGTGCCCCCTTGGGGCCGAATTTAAAGGGACCGAAATTTGATGTGCTTTTTCCACTTGCAAACCCTGGGAAATCTTGCCGAGTTTGAAACCTCCGCAGGAAATTTCACTGCCGAGTTAAATAAAACAATCGATGCTCATTCTAACATCCACACTCAGGCACTTAAATTCGAACTGAGGGAACTACTCCTGACAACCGGATTTGGGTGGCAAAGGAGCACAATTACATTAACGACTTCTTAAATTCTAAAAAATAAAAATAAATCGCTTATTCCTAGAATCTGTGCCGTGCTGATGAATACAGTTCTTTGTTCTATGGAACACAAAAACCTTACCAGAAATAAGCCAAGGGTGTTTCTTTCCGCCTGCCATTTATTTTAAGAATAGAAAGGGCTGTGATTTAGATTTTCACAGTCTGTACTGAGCACTTGCTGAAGCAGACAATGCAGTGCTAGGCTCCTGGATCATCTGAACAGGGTGCCATGAGCGTCAGCAGTCCTGCAGTTATGCGAGACCACCGGCTCCCAGACTTAGAACACGGGAGCTGAAGTGTGTAGGTTAAAGGCAGAAGCATGTAAGGAATGATTCTAAGCCACTTTGTAGACTACTGTTTAAAAAAACTAGCCTGAATCCAAAAACATGAAAGCTCTTCAACGACTATGCAGAACTGCTAATTGTCATCGATCTCTGCTGTCGAAACAGTATCCCAGGGATCCAACGTGGGCAAAGAGGACGGTCCAATTAGCCTGGCCTTTGGAGACTGTGAAAAGTATTATGCTCATAGCTTCGAATTCCAAGCCAAAGTAAAATCCAACTTTCTGTAAAGAATCAAGACCTGGATCTATCTCAGATGTGTATCCAACCTTCCCAGGGCTTTATTTAGTACAGTGAGATGTCACTGTTTCAGTTGTTACTAGTCAGGCTGCTCAACGCATGTATGAAGAGCATGCGACGTGCCACAGTGGCCGGGCGGTTTTAGACTCCGGAGGTGTCCAGCCCAGTGCAGGGGGTGGACATGGAAACAAATCATGACAGTCTAGAGTTGGAGTAAGTGCCCTAAGAGACAGATGGACAGGATGGGATGGGAACAGAGAAAAATGCCAGCTCTGCCCTTTGCACGCATCGAGATGCCAAGAAAATCAATCGAGAAATTCTTAAGACGGGCTTTAAAAAATAAACCTTTAAAACATTTTTGATATACGTCAATTATGTGAAGTATAAGGTAAATATGAGTAAAATCTAATACTTCAATTGCCGTAATTAGAAATGGTCCTTTACTATTCTCAAGGGCAGGAACTTTCCCAGGGACCCCTCATTCCACAAACATTTGATTCTTCTACGTTTAGTTACTTGAACGCATTAAGGTAGTCCACCGGTTTCTTTAAAAATTACTGTTTGCGTCTATGGTGTGCAAACATCATAGGTTTGCATCTCTATATGCCCTTTTTATATATTTTCATTGATACCTACTCAAAAGAATAAACCTTTATTAGCTTTTATTTTGTTCCAATGAAGTATGCAAAATCAAAAACGTGTATCTTGAAAATACTTAATCAGTCGAATGTGACACAAAGTTTTCATGAATAGAACAAATATGAAATATTATTTAAAATATTTCCAAACACCCATGATTTCCGAATTTTCACTTATTCCAACTTAATCTGTGATCTAAGGTCTCACCAAACCAACTGTTGACAATGCAATGGCCAGTGACAAGGTCTCCAGCAAGATTCTGGCCATTCCAGCCTTGTGGCAGTTGTTACTTATTCAAATGTTATAGAGAAGGTTCACGCCGTCAAGCAGAGATTTATCCTGGAAACACTTCCATGGTGCTAACTGTTATGTTCTAATCTCTGTCCTAAGCATTTTACAAATATGATCGCATTTAATCCTCGTCTCAACGTAGATGCTGCTATGACGCCTGTCTGCAGAACGTGAGACGAGCAAGCTGAGTGTCCCTCCCCTTCCTTAAGGTATGCGACTGGCAGCACTTGATGTGTTACCTAATACTGTGGGGAGAACGAGGGCTTATGTCTCCCAAAGCCAGGGATTATCACACATTTTTTCCTGCCCCCAACCTAATCGAGATCAATTATTCAATAACCTGAAGGATGAGGTGAAGTAAAAGTAGCACCTGCCTGCCCCCCTCGCCGTCTGGCAACGTTGACTGACTCTGTAAAGCAGTGACCACCGCAAACTGCTGAGAAATCTCCTGAGAGACAGAGGAAAAGCTGAGACCGAACGCAAAGGGCAGAGTTAGATGAGGAAACGAATTTAGAAACGACCGTGCTGACTCTAGGGGAAAGCCCCGTGAGCAGAGTTCACCTCCAAGGCCCTGGCCCCATTTCTCCTTTAAAACTACGTTAAAGATTCACGAGAGAATCCTTTCTGCCCGGGGACATCAAACATCTGATCGTTAACGCGTGACCTCTTGTTTCCCCATCTGTGACAATCTTGTTTTAATCCGTTACAGAGAATAGAAAAATCACGAGTGTAGGCATACCACCAAGATAAACAGGAAGCCGATCTTTGAGTTCTGGGAAAAGCAACTAAAACTCTGGGCCATTTCCTAACCGTAGTGCTGGGACACGCGCAAGTCACTGTCGTCGGGACCAGCACCTGCTCTTCTCTGTACTGGGGGTTCTGCCAGATGCACACATGAGCCGTGTGCTTCCCCACGTACGTGGAAAAAAAAGCTGTACTGTCTACTAAGGTCGTTTCCCTGTGAAACAAAACATTTAAATAGACTTTCTCCACATTCAGAGAAATTTCTCTGTCATCCGACTTTATCAGCTTATGATTGAAAATCTACCCACTCATCCAGTTAAAAACAGATCATCTCAAGAAATAGAAAGTTTTACAACCATTTCACATTATAGTGGATTCTTTTATCATTCACGAACATGGGATGCTACATATACTATGTGCTAATGTAATTACATTCTGAGTTTTTCCATCTAACACTGATCCGACTTTTAGTGAAGTCCCAGTCTAACTTATACCAAACCAGGTTGGAGACAGCTAAATAAGTTTTTCTGTAACTTTTTTCGGTGATACACAAAAATGAAGTTAACAGTATATGCTCAACCTCAACCCTAATTAATTCAACAATGATCAACATTTTACATTCGTATCCTCTCCAATTTTGCCTTTTTAATAAATTCGTATGGAGATATAACTGACATATGGCACTGTACTAATTGTAGGCGCGTAACGATGATTTGATGTACGTAAATACTGCGAAAAAGTTGCCATCCATTACTTTACACTTTTTTGAGACTTAATCTTAGCAACATTGGCATAGAGAGCACAGTTTATTAAGTGTAGTCGCCACTTCCCCGAGACTTATTTCTCTTACAACTGGAAGTTCGTACCTTTTGACCCACTTCATCCATTTCAGTCCCTACCTCCACCCCCACCCCCTGCCAACCACAAATCTGTTTTCGGGATCTGTGAGTTTGGCTTTTTTAGATTCTACGTCTAAGTAAGATCGAATGGTGTTTGTCTTTCTCT